TTTCCCTACCACATGCCACCCATGCTAGGCCTCCTTGCCCCAGTGACCCTGTGCTGGTTGCAGAGCTGGTGATCACGGCAGGCGGGAAGAACATCGCCCCGGTGCCCATCGAGGACGCAGTGAAGAAGGAGGTGCCGATCGTCAGCAACGCAGTGCTGGTCGGTGATGGCAGGAAGTTCCTGTCCATGCTGCTCACCCTGAAGGTGAGGGGCCATCCCTCTGAGCCCCCTGGTTCAGTACAGTCTCACGTGTCCCAGGTCATACTCGTGACTGTCTGCAGCTTCCATGCCATTTTTCAGGCTGTGAAGCCATGGCCCCTGTGTCCCCATCCTCTGCCCCTCCCGGGGAAACTATGGGTACTGTGACCTAGGCACACAGGGCTGGGAGGGGGCTCTCAGCCTAGAGCATCCAGGCCCAGAGTTTACAAGCAGACATGTGTCCATAGGGACCAGAGTTGGGGCCAGGAAGGATTTTTCTGCCTGGTCAGATTGGTACACATGGGGGGGGCACGGCCTCTCTCCAGGACCTCTTGAGCATCCACCGACAGCATTTCACAGCAGCAGGATGTTGGCTGCCACAGTTCACCTGCGGCAGGGTTGGGTGTTAGGTCTGTGCTGCGCCCGGGCTGAGAGTACGTAGTCTAGATGATGGATGGTCTGGGCTGGTTTGGACAGGACTGCTGCTGCCTCAGGAACAGGGTGGACTGGATGTGAGCTCTGCAGGTCCCTGCCAGCCCCACGACTGGGATTCTGCGTGAGCCTGTCTCTCCTGGTCAATCCCGGGCCATGTAGACCCTCAGCTCATGCTCAGTGTCCGGATCAAGGGACCTGTAGCCCTTTCCTGGCCATCCTACCCTGGTGCGTGGGGAGCAAGCACCAGGCTGCATTTTTCCTTTTCCACCTGACATCCCACACATCTCCTGCTTTTGAGTCCTCAAGCCCTGAGTCCCATTGGCCTCCCTCACCAAGAGCCAAACTCTCCTGGTGTTGGCTGCCCCCAAGCACCATCTGTAAACCTCGCTGCTCACCTCCCTCCTGCATTTTAGACTAAACATCCTCAGGCTTCCCAATGCGATGAGCTATCCCTGATCTTCTTTGTCCTTCACCCTCCACTCCCTGAGATGGGAAGAATCCCATGGGAGAGCACATGGGCCAGAGGATGGCTGAGGGCGGGTGCTATCGGGAAGGCTTTAGGCTGTGTGACCCTGGAGGCACTCCCGGACAGACAGCTCTTCTCCAGCAACAGGACCTACTTCAGTGAGGCAGAAATGCCTTGTGAGCTCAGGCTGGCCCACCCCAGAGAGCCTTGAGCTGCAAACGTGAAGAGTCTGGGAGAGACCCAGCAGACCTCCGCACAGAAGTTAATGTGTAATGAGGGCAATCAAGTAAGTGAGGAGGCGGCCAGGGCAAGTAGGGACCCTGTCAGCCTCAGGACAGCGTCCAGGGCTTTGATCCCAGCAAGCAAAACCCCTTCAGCTTTCTAGGCCTGCCACATGACTAGCCCACCTTTACCCAGATTACGGGTAACCTTGTGTGACCAGAAACAGGTCAGCAGCCCAACTTTGTATTTGCTTTCACTTCAAAACAGAAACAAACATTTATCCTGAGGTCCCTCTGGCTCCATGTGACAGCGCAGTGGAGATCCTCGCCTGCCGGGGCTCGCGAGGCTCCGGGGGGACGAGGGTGGCGCGCAGATGGGCCGCGGGTCATCTTGGATTTGCTGAGTTCCCCCCAGCCTCTGCCCTGTATTCAGAGATGACTGGTCCTGATAGTCTGCTTGGTTTTATTCACGTTTCTTTGTTGCACTGAAATTTTGAGGACTGGGATGAACCAGATCTCTGGCGGATTTGAAAGGTGTCAGTTTGTTGGGATTTATATTCTTGGGAAAGTAAAAAGGGAGGGTTCATCTCCATTGTGCAATGCCGTCCTGTTTCTTCTTTACCTTAGTTTATGGTCTTCTCCAACAAGGCCGTTTTGTTTTTACAAATGATCTAAGCCTATCATACCTATTACAGCAAAACAGCATGACATACTCTTGGTTACATGACTCACTACTGCTCAGAGTTTAAGAAAAGCAATGATATAGTAAATCTGGATTACTTCATGCACAGGGTTCCCTTCCAATGTCTCCTTTCAGGCCTGGTGCTTTCTTTAATGACATCTCATGACTGGTTGAGTTAGACATATTGATGGCCTCCTGTCCTTTGCTGACCAAGCTGGTGGTCACCTGCAAAGCTTCATGCTATGGTCAGTCAGAAATGAGCTGTGGAGCTTTCTGCGTGGCCACACTTGTGCAGCTTGGTCTACACCACTCAAAAATGGCCAAGGCTGGCAACATGCCTGTCCCTCACTGCCTCCCTCCACCCATCACCCCAAGGAGCGCCTCGGGGATAACGTCCCCATCCCATCGCTTGCTTCCCTGCGGCTCTTGGAGGTCCCACCGATGAGGCAGCGGCAGGTTCTGTGTCTGCAGAGAAGGACTCTCCAGCACACGAACCCAGCTCTCCCCTGCCTGCTCCCATGTCTGACGGTTCTCCCTCCCCCAGTGCCAGGTGGATCCGGAGTCGGGGGCGCCCCTGGACGAGCTGAGCCCCGAGGCCGTGCGGTTCTGCCAGGAGCTGGGCAGCCAGGCCACGCGGGTGTCGGAGGTGCTGAGCACACGGGACCCGGCCGTGTACCAGGCCATCCAGCAGGGCATGGAGCGGGTGAACCAGCGCGCCCCGTCCCGCGCCCATCGTGTGCAGAAGTGGGCCCTGCTGCCCAGGGACTTCTCCATCGCCGGTGGGGAGCTGGGTGAGTGCTGAGCACCAGGCCCCTGGGACCGGGGCGGGAGCCAGAGAGGAGCTGGGCTGGGGCTGGGGCCCAG